TGTACTAGATAGATGCTGTAGTTGAACTTGAAAACCAGGTAGGCCACAAGGTGGCACCATTGAAACCCAGGTAGGCCACAAGGTGGCACTATTAAATAAAGTTCTGTTGTAGCTAGAAAAAACAGATTTCTAAAAAATTAAATAACTTGGCCCGGCGCGGTGGCTCACGCCTGTAATCCTAGCACTTTGGGAGGCCGAGGCAGGTGGATTGCTCAAGGTCAGGAGTTCGAAACCAGCCTGAGCGAGACCCTGTCTCTACCAAAAATAGAAAGAAATTAATTGACCAACTAAAAATATATATACAAAAAATTAGCCGGGCATGGTGGCGCATGCCTGTAGTCCTAGCTACTCGGGAGGCTGAGGCAGGAGGATCGCTTGAGCCCAGGAGATTGAGGTTGCTGTTAGCGAGGCTGACGCCATGGCACTCACTCTAGCTCAAAAAAAAAAAAAAAATTAAATAACTCTATTACATAAGTAATATATATGCATGAAAGACTTCATATTGACTTCCCAGTCCTTATTTAATGTCTTTATTATATAATTATAGATTATAAAGTAGAAACTTCCTATGGAGGAATTCTCTTGCTAAGAATTTTAAACATGGTAAAATTGCATGGTAAAGATTTGGGAAAATACCAAAGGTATTAGAATAAAATATAATATCCAAAATAACCAGTATTCTTTTTGTGAATAGTTAATTTTGGTTTATTCTGATCCAATATCTTTTCTAAAAGTTGAATTGTAACTGAACTCTAAATAATGTAAACAAGTACTAGTTAAGTAATACAAACATTGCCAGACACATATCTGAAATCCTTGTGTGGTGTCTTTTAATTTCCCAGAGAAATAAAAATTTACATAAGTATTTTCTCCTTATCTCAACCAGGAAGAAATACTTGAAAATAACGAGTCTAGGAGTTTAGTTACTTCCTGTTTGTCGTGGCCTGTTTACAGGATGGAGGATGAACACAGAACACAAAACACAAATGCAGAACACAAAGAAAAACGCGGACACACATACAGATGGTTGACTCAAGTAATAATACACCAAGTCAGTTTTATTTTTATACTCTAAAAAATTAAAGTTAGTTCATTATACGTAACCACCCAGGCATTTCAGCAATGGCCATAAATTCCAGAACATGTAGCCTTAAGGATACAGATGTCCCCTGACTCAAGGTTTCCAGGTGGTTGTTCTAGGCACCAGGCATAGATCATGGACCGAGATTAGCAAGGATGGCCAAGGCAGCCACAGGGGGCATTTCTCATCCCCAGTTCCTCTTAGGGTGATCCCCTAAGATCTTAGGCTGAGCCCCAGCAGCTGTGCTGGCTTAGGTCGCCCCTCCCTTGAGGGATCTTACCTGACGAGTCAGTTTTATCTCACTATTTTCAACACTTTTGCATTGTCTTTGGCTTTTAAGAGTTTGGCTATGATGGGAATGAATAAGTGTGGATTAATTTGAATATATTTTGGCATTTATTGAACCTCTTGGATATGTGATTAATGTTTTGCATCAAATTTGGGAAGCCTTTGACCAATATTTCTTTAAATATTTTTTCTCTTTTGCTCTTATTCTGATATTCACATTATACATATGTTGATATGCTTAATTCTGTCCCACAGGACTCAGAGACATGTTCCTTTTCTTCATGCTTTTTGCTTTCTGTTTTTCAGATTAGATAATCTTTATTTATCTATCTTCAAGTGCATTGATTATTTATTCTGCCAGCTCAAATCTACTCTTGAGCTACTCTAGAAATTTTTCATATCAATTTTTTTACTTTTCAACTCCAAATTTTCCATTTGGTTTCTTTTTAAAAATAATTTCTACTTCTTTATTGATAGTCTCCATTTAATGAGTCATTGTCACCTTAATTTTCTTTGTTTAAATATGGTTTTCTTTCGTTCTTTGAACATATTTATACTAGCTGCTTTGAAGTCTGTTTGCTAAAGCCAACACCTGAACCTTCTGAAAGTAGTTTTTTTGCCTGCCTTTTTTTTCTATGTATAGGTCACACATTCCTGTTTCTTTGCATGTTTCATAGTTTTTGTTGAATACTGGACATTCTAGAAAATATATTGTAGCAACTCCGAATTTGTATCTCTCAAGGCTTATTGCTTTTGCTCTTTTGTTTGTTTCATGACTTTCCTGTGAAGTCTATTTGCCTTGTAGTGTTTAGCCTCTGATATCACTGTTCATCACACTTAATAGTGAAAGACTAAATGCCATCCCCTAGGATCGGAACAGAGTAAGAACATCTACCACACAACTCAAATTCAATATTGTACTAGAGGCTCCAGGCAGTGTGATAAGTCAAGATTAAAAAATCAAAGGCACCAAGATAGGAAAAGAAGTAAAACTCTATTCACAGGAGACATGATCTTCTATATAGAAATTTCCATGAAATCTAAAAAAACATATAGAACTAATAAGTGAGTTTAGCAAGGTTTCAGTAAACGAGATCAATAAACTAAGATCAATTGAAGTTCTATAGATTTTCAAAGGACCCATTGGAATTGAAAAAAAGAAACAGAATAATGATGTCTGAAAAAATACACAATAAAATATACGGTATCAGAGGAGATATAGAAAAAGGAACCAAACAGAAATTCTGGATCTGAAGAGTAAAGTAACTGAAATGAAAAATTTACTAAAAAGTTTCAAAAGCAGAATTGAATGGGCTGAGAAAAGAATCAGCACACATGAAAATAAATTGACTGAGTTTATCTACTCTGAGGAGCAGAAAGAAAAAGGAATTTTTTAAAAAGAGCAAATCTTGGAAGATTGTGAGACACCATCAGCATACCAACATATGTGCCGTAGTAGTTCCAGAAGGGGAAAGAGAGAGAGAAAGGGCTAGAAAGAATATTTGAAGACGTAACATCCCCAAACTTCCCAAATTCCATGAAAGACATGATCTACATATCTAAGAAGTTCAAACTCCTAGTATGATAACATCAAAGAGATCCACACTGATACACACAAATTGTCAAAGGAAAAGGGAAAGAAAAAATTATAAAGGTGGCAAGAGAAAAGTGACTCTTCACAGACATAAGATCCTCAGTACAATTAACAGCTTTCTGCCCATGAGAAACCATGGAGGCCAGAAGCCAGTGGGATGACACAGTTAAAGTGCCAAATGAACAAAAGTGTCAACCAAGAAATCTACGTCAATCAAAATTATCCTCCAAAACTGAAGGAGAAACTCCAAAACTGAAGAAGACATTCTCAGATTAACAAAAGCTAAAGGAGTTCATCTCTGTCAAACCTGCCCTATAAGAAATGCTGAAAGTACCCCAGGCTGAAATGAAAGGACTCTAGGCAATAATATGTAGCTGCATGAAGAAATAAAGAACACCAGTAAATGTGCCCACATAGGTAAAAGTAAAAGTCAGTATTATTATATTTTTGCTTTTTACTTCCTCTTTTTTATTATATGCTTTGTTTGTTTGTTTGTTTTCATCTTTTTCCCACTTGACCCCCATGTTTGTATTTAGAGACAGGGTTTCATTCTGTCACCCCAGGTTGGAATGCAGTGGCATGATCAAAGCTTATAGTTCTGGAGGCTCTCAAGGTGAAGAGACATGTGAGTTACATATGCTTCACAAGGCCCTAGGCTCAAAAGTAGTGTGAGTTAAATACAACTCACATGGCAGTTAATGTGTTAAAAATAAAATTATATATTTGTAACTCTAATCAAAATCCCAGCAAATGACATGTGTATAGAAACTGATAAAATGAATCTAAAATTTAAATGAAAATGCAACTTATGAAGAATTACAAAGTAACTTTTGAAGAACAAGTTGGAAGAACTTACATTTCCAGATATGAAGATTTCTATAAAGCTATGTGGTCAATCAAGACATGTTAGTATCAGCACAAAAATTGACAACTAGACAAAGCCCAGAAAGTGACCTACTCAATATGGACCCTTAATTGATGACCAAGGTAGAACTAGAGAACGGTGTGTGTGTGTGTGTGTGTGTGTGTGTATAATGATAAAGCCAGAATAGTGGGAAACTTTGGGGGTTTGTGATGGGAAGGGGAGGTTCTGAAATGCTAGTGCCATTCTAGATCCTTTGACCTGGGGAGTGGAAACATAGGTGTTTGCTTTAAAATTCTCATTTATAATACACTGATATATACTTTCCATAAGTGTGTTATATCTCACAATAAATTTATTTTAAAATTTAAAAAATAGAAGAAAATCAATATGTAATTGAGAAAAAAAATCTCACTTCACTTATCATTTGATTGCCTAGTTCCCCGACATTATTCATTAAATTATTTAAACTCTCCCCACTGATTTGTGATTCCAACTTAATAATATACCCTATTCTTATTGTACTTGAGAGAGTTGGTAATGGTTACCAAATATCTGGTATTGCTTTTGGCGAGGGTGAGTGGACGTTGGGGGTGCGGAAGGGTGGGAAAAGTGTGACCGAAGAAAGTATTAGCAGGCCGGGGAAGCTGATGCAGGCACCGTCACGGTATTTATTGTTCAACAGGAAAATTCTGGAGACAAACTGAAAAGAGAAAGGAAGTGTGTGAGAGGGCTGCCAAGTGAGCAGGTAAAGTGTCCCTTAATTACAAAGGACTGGTGAACCCTCTAAGAACGCAGTATCTGGGCGGGGAGCGGGGCCAGGCCTGCAGGGCGGGGCGCTGCGGGCGCCCGCCGACGCTGCCCGAGCGGTTGGGCACAGCCCGCCGCCCGCGTGCAAACGCGGAACACGCCGCTGTTTTTAAACTCCATGTACTGCGTTTCTGCTTATTGCTTGAAGAAACTACAAAAAGGCGCGCGCTGCCACACTCTGTCGCCCTTGCTGGCCAGGCTCGGCGCCCGCAGCGCCCGGCCCGCGAGCCGGCAGGAGGGCGCGGGCGCCCCGACGCCGGCGGTGCCACGCGGGTCCTCGGCTCCGACTGGACGTGCCCGGCGGCCGCGAGGTGCGGCGGTCGGAGCGCCCGGCCGCCCGAGGCCCGCCCCGCCGGCCCGCCCGCCGCCGCCCGCGCTCACTCGCAGCTCGAGCGGCGCCGCGAGGTCCACCCGCGCCGCAGCGGCCGGAGATGCAGCGGGGCGCCGCGCGGGGGCTGCGCCTGTGGCTCTGCCTCGGACTCCTGCACGGTGAGCGCCGCGCGGGGGCTGGCGCGGGGCGAGCGGGGCCGCGCAGGCGGGGCGGCTCGGGACGGCGCCGGCACGCTCGCCGGGTGGAGGGCCGGCATGAAGAAAGGGCGGCGGGACCGTAGCCGGGCCGGGGGCAGGGCGGCAGGGCTGCGCCTCGGCGCAGGTATAGTCCTCTGGTCCCCGGCTCGGCTCCTCCGCCTGTGGCTCGGAGTTCCTGGAGCCTGGCCCCGTCGGGCTGCGTCCTTAGCCTGGGTCCCTCGTTCCCGTACTCGCGACCCCACGCGCGCCGCCACGCTCGGCCCCGCCCGCACGCAGCGGGGGTCGCTGCCCAGCGCCCAGGCGGCAATCCCCGCCCGGCCCCAGCCTCGGTGCTCACTTCCGACGCCTCACGTCTGCGCCCGAGGTCGGTGCCGCGACTCCCCCAGAGGGCGGTCGGGGCGGGCGTCCGCCTCCCCAGACCAGGGACCTCCGGGCGGTGGCTCCGGATCCTCCGGGCTCTGGAGGCCTGGAGGCGGAGAGGGCGCAGGTGCCTGTTGGGACTTAAGGCCAATCTTGAGTTGACAGTTCATAAACTATGGCAGTCACAGAAGAGGCCTCCGGGGTCCAAGGGGCCAGGAGCCTTGAAGGCCAACTAGGAAGCCAGGCGGAAGCGGAGGCCACCACGAAGAGACCTTAAGCACAGGAGAGGCAGGGGTAGGTTCGTGCTGGGAATGTGGCTGTGGCGCCGGGAGACCCAGACCTGAGGCAGAGGCTGTGGGGTTGGAGACAGGCACTGTGGAGGGCCGAGCGGTTGGGCAGAGATGTAGGGTGGAAGCGTGGGGCGGGAGAGGATGAGCTGGGCGTGTGCACAAGATCTGGTGTCCCTGGGAGTCAAAGGGTGAGAGGGAGGCTCCCCGGACCCGTGCTTGAAGGAGGAGTGCTGGGAGGAACGCGCCCTCGGTATTTTCGCACGCCATAGGAATTGAATGCTGGTTTGCATGCTCATTTCCGAATTCTCACAGGGAATGTTAGACCCATTTTACACATGGGGAAGCCTAGACCAAGGATATATGTAATTTCCCCAAGGTCCCCAGGAGGCCTGAAGTAAGAGACAAAAAAGCCCTGCTCTCTGCTCACCCTTGTACCTTCACAGGATGAAGACCCGAGGACAGGGGAGGGGAGGGATGCTGAACCTGGGAACGAGGGAAGAGGACATCTGTCCGAGCTTCTGAGTCAGGCAGGGTCTGATCAGAATGCTGCCCCTTGGCTGTCCCTGCCCTCCTGCCTGCACCCAGCCCAGGGCTGGCCTCTCACAGGTGTTCAGTATGTGTTTGTTGAGTGACTGAATTGAGTGTAGGGTAGGGGTGAATAGGGCCCTGGTTGGACTGCAGAGGTGAGGAATGGGAGAACCTCCACATTGAGGAGACATTCGACAGGCAGCTGGGTTTAGTGCCTGAGGCTCAGGAGGGAAGCTGGGCTGGGTAGCTGGAGAGAGAGCAGAGTCCAGGAAGGGACCCTGCAGAGAGGGCCAGAGAGGAAGGGGGCTCCTGGGAGACAGGGAACATCCCACAGGTGTGAGGAGAACCAGGAGGGGCCAGTGTCCTAGTGCTCCCAGGGTGGTGAGGCCATTCCCTGCAGTGGGTGCAGGTGACTGTTACCAAACCAGACTATGAAGAGGAAGAAAGAGGGTGTTAGCAGGCAGCCATGGATGGGTTGTCCCAGGCTGGACTTGGGTATGGTTGTCAGGGAGATGCCAGTGGAGACTGAGACCACCCCTGCCTCAGCCTTGTACCTTGTTCCACCCCAGCTGGGCTGAGGAGGACCCTGGGAGCTCCAGCCTGACAGGGCTACTACCATAGAAGCATACGCCCTCAGGTACAGAGGCTTGGGAACCCTGAGGCTACCCTTAAAACTGTGCCGTAGGTCATAGAACCATAGAACTTTGTCCTGGCTCTGCCCCTGAAGCCCTGGGTGTGTGGCCTGGGCCCCTCCCCCCTCCTCCCTGCACCTCAGTTTCCCCATGCACAGCAGTGGTGGAGGCTGGGCCCCTCCCTTCTCCTCTCTGTGCCTCAGTTTCCCCATGCACAGCAGCAGTGCAGGCTGGCAAGCACTGAGGGGCTGTGTGCTTGGGCTGGACTTCAAGGCTCAGGGTCCCAGTCCAGTTCCACAGTCTTGCCCCAGCAGTGTCCCTATGGAGAGTGCCAATGGCAGATGGCTCTTGGGGCTTCATCTAGAGAGAGGCTGTTTGCACCCCTGTCCCACAGGCTGCCAGCTCAGCAACATCAGGGGAAGCAGAGACTGCTGGGAACTGGGTTGGCCTGGTCAGAGGAGACTGGCCCTTGCCGTGGGCTCTCATACATGGCCATCCTACTTATGCCGGCCCTGAATCAGGCCCAGGTGGGGACAGTTGTGTGGGAGTAGACAGAGATACAGGCAAGACTTGAGAGCTGGGCCCACCTCCCTGGTGCCTGTGGACCTTCCAGCCCTGCCTTGGTGCCTAGGGGACTCACATGCGGGTGCCGCTCACGCACCCACCAAGACCGAGGCACAGAGCCAGTGGGGCTCAAGGGGCTCTGCTGCCCCAGAGCACAGGGTCAGCATGGCCAGGCCTCAGATGGGGTGTGAGGTGTGACAAGTGGACTGTCTGGCAAATTCCCCAACCCTGGCACCCTGACCAGGGAAGGAGACTGCAGTTCTGTGCAAGCCACAAGTGCAAGTGTGTAAGCCATGGTGCCTACTCAGGGTGGCTCAGGGAGGATTTGGACCCGGACCCGTCCTGTAGGGGCTTCCTGAGTGCCAGACTGCAGGAACACAGACGTGGCATCAGATGTCTGTAGCCCAGGGATGAAAGTGCTCCATGGCCCCAGTGAGGCCCAGCTGGTGGCTGGGAGCTACACAGGAAGGAAATGCCCAGGCAGGACAGTCCAGATGGCGAATGTGGACGAGTGGTCGGGCGAGGGCAGAGCCTGAGAGGGGTGGGCAGGAGGTGGGGGAGACAAGACAGGAGAGGGCCACAACAGCAGCAGCAGGGAGGCAATAGTCTAGGGAGGGCAGGCGCTGGGAATCACAGGTCGATGAACCCAGGAGAAAAAGCAGGGGTGGGAGATTTAGTAATGGAGATGGAGGGCTAAGGGCTCCAGCTTGAGCAAACATGGCAGATCATGAAATAGTCTGTCCGATGAGGACCTTGGGAGGAGGCATGGCCTCCAGGTGGACGTGTCCAGCAGAATTTCCTGGGAGACCCCAGGGGATGCAACTAGGCCAAATAAGGAAGAAGGAAAGTTGGGAGTGCTTGAGTGTGACAGGGCAGAGGGGAGTCAGGGAACTCAGGGAAATTAAATGGAGTCTTAGCACGAGGGGGAAGTTCTTCTCTGTGTCTAGCTTATACCCCTCCTGCTATTGTTTGGGTATTTTCCACCATGGGGCAGGTTTCTCTCCACCAGGGGCTAGCTTGTGCCCCACAGCCCTCTGAGATGCACCTCGGAGTGGAGGGTAGTTATGGAGAAGGGTTTGGGGAATGTCTCACATTCCCTAAGCCGACCTCTGAGCGAGAGGCAGCTGATGTGTCCAGCTGGAGTCAGGGATTCCTGAGTTTCAATCCTTTTCAGACACTGGCTTCCTCTGGGATCTCAGTTTTCCAGTCATACTGAGGGGACAAGTCTGGGAGCAGGAAGGTGTCGGCATTCATCGTTGGAGGAGGCGCAGGGTGCTGCGCAGGGCAGATGGCGGGCATGCCCCTGGGGCCCCGAGGCCCGGCCACGCTCGCCTGAGGCCACGCCTGGGCAGGCGCAGGTTGAAGGTCCAGTGGTGAGTGGGGGAGCCCCGCCACGTGGCCGTGAGGTCAGCAGGGGTTCATGGGAAAGGACTTGTCGGCCACAAAAGAGGACATCCTGCCTGCATTTCCCTCTTCCTGCAGCAGGAGCTGGTGTCCCCGATTTAGCAGCACTGGGGGGCCATCTCTGAGCCAGCTGGGCTGTCTGATAACACCGCTTGTCCTGCTGGCCAGGGAGCAGAGCCCTGACCCCAGGCAGGCCAGGATAACGGCCTGGCACAGCTGGCTGCACTGAGCTGCCCTGCACTGGGAGCTTAGCTTCTGCTAGGGTCCCCTCCTCCCTATCTCCACCCCTACTGGGTGCTCAGGCAGCCCATGCTCCCAACAGGTCCACCACTTGCCAAGCCTCACCACCACTCCCTACTTCCAGGGTCTTCCAGACATTTGTCTCCGTTCTGCCCCCAAGGGACTGCTGTAAAACACAGATGTGAGCCTTCAGTGGCCCCCAAAGATAATCATCAGCTTCTCGGGCTAGTGGTATGGGCCCTTCCTGCTGGAGTCCAAGGTTGTCCCTAGCCCCACATCCACCCAGCCTCACCCACTGCACACCCCAGCCCGAGACCGTGGCCTTTCCCCTGCTCCAGATAAGCCCTTGAGGAGCATGCTGAGAACTCCAGGTAGAAGGGGTGCTGCTCCAAGTGGGGGGCCCAGGAAGGCACTAGGAGGCTTCAACCCTGCTCCCTGCATGCCCCCAGGACCATGGGGTCCAGGCTTTCAGGTAGATTTAGAGGAAGCCCTCATCCTCATCCCACTCCAAACACCGTCCTCGAAGCCACCCTAAGTTCTGCCAGATGGAGATTCGTTTGTATCACACAGCAGGTGTGCATGCTAGCGTCCACATACCCTGCACTTGGAGGGTCTAGCTGTGAGCCACACCTCAGTGTAAGATGGTGAATCAAATTGCTTCACACTAGGGTGTGTACAGGTTTTAACCTTGTGACTCAGACCTTATTGTGCCCATTTTGGAGATTAGGAAATTAAGGCCAGCAGGGTGAAATGGCTCATTTCGGGGATGGGATGGTGTCTGATATCTGGCCCCAGAGAGCGTGGGGGCCACAGGGAAAGGAAGGGCAGGCGCAGAATGCAAGTTGTCCACATTTCCCAGGGAAAGCCCTAGAAGGGTAGGGGGTCCTAAATTTCTGACCACCTCATGGACCACCTCTTGGTGTCTTGGAGACCTTTCAAAAGC